ACTTACCATTCAATCAATAGCTCATGTTACTTCAAAAAACTTCTCATTAATTACAACACTCAGAGAGTCAGGTGAACAAGCTTTACGATTTCCAAGTGAAAGTGACTCTGCAACTTACCTGTCCTTATAAGTAAAGCATAATAAAACTTAATTTGAAATGTTTTTCATAGCTTTTGGAAATATAAAATGTCAAATAAAAAGCACTTGAATCCTTTGGTTTCATTTCTGAGATCCACTTGTTATTTGATCTAGTAATAAGTTGATTATTCTTAAAGTTATGTACGGTTTCGTAGGTACAGTGTGCTGATAAAACAAAGCACTTGTTTGTAGTGTTTATTGGTAAAGACACATTTGTTGAAAACTGTTTAGGAAGATGAATTTCAGTCAGTGGTATATATGCCATCGATTGTCTTCAACCTATCAAAAAGTCACATGATTTGTTCTCACCTATGCTATTAGACGACATTTTCCAGGTGGAGAATTTACGTTTGCATAATTGAGTACTGTAGTAACAGATAATTGAGCAGGCCATTTACCTGAATCCAATCATCTCAGAAACTTTTACCTAAGTCGCATTGAACTTAGTGGATTAATGTTAAACAGCTAAATTAAAATAATTAACTGAACCTAAGCAAGAACGTGGTTTAAAGTTGATGAATTCAGCACAATGGTAAAATATAAAACTTAAGAGGCAGAAAACTGAATAAATCAAATATATGCACATATTTAGGGATAGCTAAAAACGTGCTCGATTCACTGTTGTCTTGATTTGAAGAGTAAATGAAACTGTGAAAATCTGTTTACTGATGATTATTACTTTACATTTCTATGCGTGTATGATTTTAGACATTTGGAGAGCCAGTGTTAACTGAGTTTACAGCTGATATATTCATGCACGTTGAAGACTCAAGTTTAGTAAGAGCTTTGCTAAGTAACATGAAAAAAACATGAAGGATATCCATCATAAGTATTTTCGACGGAAGATATTTTGTATTTATTGAAGCCTAATCAAGAAGATATGCTTTCGAGATTTTATTTGGTGTTTTAGGTAATGACAACAGACAACTTATTTTCGGGAAGTAGTCTGATGTGTTCATAAAAGTTTGCTTCTGTACAATAGTATTATTATTATTCAAAAACATCTTATGGGTACATAAGTGTTGTGAAGAAACCAATCCGCGCTTCTTCAAAAATGCAACAGTACACAAATCTCAGTAATGCTGGTCATTAAATTAGAATGGAGAAGCAATTTGAGAAAGGTCTTACACCAGCGTTGCTTAGAAGAGTTCGAGATTCGTTTTATGGATGATTAACAGCATAAAACTTATTATTCATCTCTACTGCTATGTTTTAGGCGATATGAATTTGCAGAAGTTAAGAGTATAAGACTAATGCAGACCAGGGTTGATCACGGTTACAAGTTTGAGAAGCATTGCCTCACAAAGTGATTCGTATTTTATGTAGTGTAACTCCCATGTCCAGCTGTCCGTATTTATTTGCATTGTGTTGTTCTAGTATTTATTTGCGTCAAATTTTAGGCATTGGTTCTCATAATACTTATCTCTTTCACTCAATTTGCTCTGCATCATTTGTAGAATTCGTCTGTGAGTAAAACTGTATTACTTACTGTGTTCAGGTCATCAGCATGTAGGTATGACTTGCCTAAGGTAAAGCATCTGTACATACTGTTGATGTTTATTATCTAGGCGTTAACATTGCTTATGATTATCAGTGATGACACTGCCATATTTGAACTAATGATTATTCTATTTATGAACTCCACTAGACCATAAAAATTAATCGTTTGACATGATACTTGTTCAAGTTATCTCGAAAGTCTGAGTTATCGGGTGTGCATGAAGTGCACGTCGTATTCCATGCATATCCTTTGATGTAGAGACCATCACGGTTCAATAAATAACCGGCAAAAGAGAAAAAGCAACAGTAGCCATTCTTTTCTGACATCAATATTTACGTGGACTGGATCTATGAACTGCTCACTATCCACGCTGTCTCGTGATCAAAGAAGGTTATTTATATTGATGAGTTCCATTTACTCGATTGTCAAAAATAATCAGAGGTGAAGAGATCTGGTCGGTATGTGAATGATCTTTATGAGAACTGGGCATCTACTTTATTCAAAGTAGTAATACTTTCTGGGACATTCTCCAGTACCGATAAAGATGTTATCCTCTCCTACTGCTTGGATTTACTGGAATTTCCTTTCTTCGATATTGATGTGAATAGGGAAACAAAGGGGCCATGATAAGCGACGGAAGATGTTTTGGGTGACTTTAATTTTCGTGCTGGTAGGTATCCTTCGTTTTGCCGATAGAAGAAACTAGTGGAGTGCGAGACTACCTGTTTGAACACACAAAGCTTTTAAACATTCAAAATAAAATGATAGAGAATGTAATCCCTTTGCAAAATAGGGGAGTGAATGAATACTTGAGCTTTAATGTTTCGATATAACTTAGATGCTTAAAGTCAACTCTTGAATAATAAACTTAATTTGATACAATTTAGCTTAATTCGAAGTATGTAAAGTACTAACATTTAGTTTTATCTCGAGTTCAATCGATAAACCATAAACTTCTGTTTGACGTATGGTCCACTGCCATACCCTTCTGTGTTCCAAAGTTAATGCAATTTAAAAGTGACCTTTAGTACTCTGTTTTTCTACCTTAATGACCGGTTTGGACATGATTGTATATTTCCGATTGTTTGTATTCTGTGATCGCGTCAATCGTCTATTTATTGATTATTCATTTGCAATAATCAGGAGCAAATCTAAGGATGTTCCGGTTTACTCGTCTTCTCTCTTCCTCTCTTGTCAACCAATCAGGTGATAGAGTAGTTTTCGTCTCTCTGCCAGAGACCATTAGTCTTAATTCGGACTCATGCATTTTTGGCTTCACGGTTAGACCAGTTAGCCTGTTATGTTCATGTCTTAAATAAGGTCGAGACAATTTCTCTCCTATGTATAACTGGGTAGACAGATAAAGAACGTGACAAGAATCTTGAAAACATATTTTCATTTTTCTGGTGCATGTCTTTCCACCGGGTCATTGGGAAGACATGAGATTTATTAACAATTAGCTGTATATACGACTTCAGCGCCTCAGCTGATATACTGTCTGCCATTGTCGTTATGGGAGGAGTTCAAAGTATTTAATTAACCATAATCTTTTATTGTAACTATCGTTATTTTTACTTGACTTTGGATATATTCGGTTTATGCAAACTTTGAACTTGTTTGTTCATTGGTTTGACTTTTTGAGAGAGAACTGATCAAAAATAGGCAAGAAGTGACTCCAACTAATTTGAAGTTGATAGTGTCTCTTGAAGACATTCATTGAATGTTTCAGATTTCACTTCTGAGTAATATTGCTTGTACAAGGTTTTCTTCAACCATGACTCGAGATATTTTTCAACTTAATTGAATGCAATATCCCCAGCAGATGAGTAGAATTTTCATAATATAAGCAGAAGCTAGATAGAACAGCCGTCCCTTTTGATAATAATGAAAAAGGAATATGCAATGCGTAGCAAAAGGGAACGTGATATTAGAACTTGAAGATGTAAAATACGAACTAGAGAGTCTACTACATAATAATATATTATGGTGAGTTACGTGGCCAGAAGATCTCAGTTGTCTATATAGTCACATTGTTAAATGGTGGGAAGATCATGAATGAACGTACCTGATATATAACTAGTGAAATTAAATATAAATGGACCGGTATATACAAACTATTTGCTATACTTTACAGATTTTTACTCTAGACCTACCGCCTTGAAGTTTGATAACATTTTGTATTATACGGCTAATATTTCGATTTTGACTCCCATGAAATATAAATACAGCCTTGAGGTTGTTACCAATCGAAAAAGCTTCACACAGTGCAAACCAATCGCATGTGTCTTTGATGTGTGTAGTGAATAAAAGATGTGAAATTAGTGAGCCTAAATGGAAACGTTCTCCTTGAAATCCGGCTGATTATAGACTTCATTCGCGGTTATTTAGAATTGTAATGTCACATTGAATTTGGCTATAGCACTCTAAATTTTCTAGTCAATACTTACAGACAAAACCCTAAACACAGAACAGCGAATATTTTTCATCGTTTTCGCCTCCATCATTGGTGGATGCTTAGCTGTGGATGAAATTTAATGCGATTCTCTATCTTTTCTTGTGATTACTCTTATTGTCCTGGAGTCTTTGGTTTGCCATCCTATGATGACTTTTCCCCATCGTCACACATAATCATTGCAAATCTTTGTGTATCGGCTGGTTTTCTTTTGAATACCACAATATAGCAACATATTTATTAAGGCCTGTCCTTGCTGTTCATCATGTTTCCAGCGGGTTTAACTTTTTACAAGAGTAAACAAGTTTCAAATTGGTTTAGCAACCATTTGAATGCTTCTTTGTCTTCTTCATTATTCCGATATTCCATGTTCCATGCCGACTGTTCCGCTGTCCTTCAGGAGGGACATCGGCCACCTAGATTGAGAGGGACTTAGGTCAGTCCTGGTTTCGTTGCTTTTGAGGTCACTACACGTGAAATGATTTGGAAAGAAGCACTTAAAGATGCCACAGGTATTTGTAGTTTGAGGATCGACTGATCGATACTGGCTAGCGATTGCAGGGAATGTTTAGCATGGCGTTCCCACTCGTGATCTGGTGCGGATGCATGACTAAGCGCATTCAGCTGAGTCCATTAAAACTAATGTGGTCAGCATCCATTGCCGAAGACTTACAGAGCTATTTATTTTGTGGATTTGTTAACTGCTCGTTCAAACGATCAGGTTTCTGTCCCAAAAGCAAATGCATGAATAACTAATTTTATCTTCCTATTTATAGCTCAAATTGTTAAGTAAGAGATATGAAGTTCATAGTAAAGTTTCTACTCTTTTTCCATACAGTAATGTCACAGAAATAGTTGAACTGTGCTTACTGTCGATGCATTCGATATTATTCTCAATTGTTATGTTTCACACTTCAAGGCCATCCGGGCCTTTGGCGTAATTCGTTCGTGCTCGATAGTTTCTTATGACTGAGTACAAGTTAGTTGTTGTTGGAGGTAAGCTTTGCTATCTACACATGAATACCTATTCGTCTAGCTGGTGGAGTTGGCAAAAGTGCTCTTACTATCCAGCTTATTCAGAATCAGTAAGCTTTTAATATTTTTAATAACTGTACCATAGTTTTGTTGAGGAATATGACCCAACGATAGGTATAGCCAATACAAGACCAAGCATTTAAACTTTTTGTAGAGGACTCTTACAGAAAACAGATGGTTATTGATGGAGAAATATGCTTGTTAGATATCTTAGATACCGCTGGGCAAGAGGAATACAGGTAATTCAAAATACAAGTTTATTCTCCAAACAGTGCAATGCGAGATCAGTATATGCGTACTGGAGAGGGATTTCTATGCGTATTTGCCGTGAACAACTCCAAGAGCTACGATGATATAAATCAATATCGAGAGCAGATCAAAAGGGTTAAAGATGCCGACGAAGTTCCTATGGTTCGTAAGTTAACAAAACTTTTCTCCATTCCATTTGTAGTTGTTGGAAACAAAGTTGACCTCACGAATCGCAGTGTATGTACAGAGGAGGCAAAATCCTTAGCCCACTCTTATAATATCCCGTATGTTGAGACCTCCGCCAAGACCAGGCAAGGTGTAGAAGATGCGTTTCATAAACTTGTCCGGGAGATCAGAAAATCTGTAAGTGATTTAAAAATAGTTAAGCCTACCATTTATAGCACAAGCTCTGGTCGCTCTTACGGACAGTTTTTTTAGTTGAAGAGTTTCAGAGTTGCTTTTTATTAATTAAACCTGTAATTAAATTCTGTCTCCACGCTTCGAGATGATTAGGTTAATAAAGCTGTTTACGTTTCTACCCAAACCAGTTAAAAGTCTTTGCCTCTAGCACCTATTTGTCATGGTTTCAAATCCTAGTAGATTGAAAAATGGCTCAAACTGACATTCCTGAAGCTATCGGCTAACTGATTCAATTGCTTATTAATGTCGAGATTAGGAAAAGAAAACCAAGTAGCGTGACGTAGTTGTCCATTGCTCTCTTTCTTTAAGTTAAAGATATTCATATATGGCCTTATTTTATCTCTCAATTTATTTTTATTCCTGTCGGTTTCTGTTATCGTTCAAATGCTATTAGAACTTGGTTGGAATTCCTAGCACTTGTAATAATCAAGTTCTGATAAGTCAAATTCATCTTGCAAGTAAAAATCTACAACATATAGAAGCACTCAGCCTTAAGCAGACAGAAAGCAACTTGAAAAGGTCATGGTGATTAGATAGTTTGAGGCTATACCGTTCCTTGTCTAACAATTAAATAGATAAACAAGTGTATATTATTCATAGTAAATCATTTTGCACCTTATCACAAGCCAGTTAGGAGTCCCCTGCTAAAACATTTTATCCAATATTTCATGAGACGCATATTTCCTTATCGACAAAGTGACCGTTTAAAGGATATCGTTGGTTTTCGGGAGAATAGATCGTTGTTTGATGGTAAAGATCATACTTTACTTTTAATGCTTGTTACACTTGAAACTACATTGTTACAGTTAACAACTTTGTGTTTAGGAGTTTGACTTTATGAAGTCATGAATTTAGATCACAGGTTTACTTTTACCAGTTTGGAGTTTTGTAACCACTTCAAGCATTTAATTGGTGATATATTTTGATCCCAGATGTTCTAGTTCATAGCGCTAACTGATGTATGTTTAACTAGGTAAAAGTGCACAAGTTTTTGCAGTATGGCTTTTGTGATGATAGATAGGTAGTCAATCTAGAGACACCATTGTTACTTCCCGTGACCACTAGTTTAGGTATAGGACTAAAAAGCAAAGAATGCCCTGTTAGACTGGGTCCCAATGAACAGTCACTTGTGTGTCATCTGACTAAATGGTACATTGATAACCCTGTCTACGCCTCCACTGACTGCAGCTCGGATGAATTTCATAGGAAGCTACCCAACCTTCGAAAAGCTCAAGGCTCTAAAGTGGCAACAGTGGAAGGTGATTTAAGTGCTGAAGTAAGTAGAATAAACCGAATCAAAGAGTATTTAGGGGTATTGTACTGTGTCGTGGCTCAGCGAACAGATGATGGCGACCGTCTGCTGCAACTATTCTATTTTCTAGCAAGCTTAAGGGGAATATCGTCTAACGTGGCGACTTCCACAATGGACTGAAATAAACCACATTCACATAAACCATCGTCGGAAAGACTCGCTCATTCTGAAGCACATTTATAGATTTATTATTTATTTATTTATTTGAGCACATAAATATTGGTACAAGAGAGCGCCAATATATATGCGCCACACAAAACAATGAAAATTCGAAGAGAGAAAAGAAAAAAAAAGAAAAAAAACTAAGGAGCACAAAAGAAAAAGAGAACGATAACAAAGAGATTGGTGAAAGGTAGTGCGGTCGTAACGATGGAACGGAAAGGTACAATCGGAAGAAATCTTTCAAGTAAGGGAGACACAACCACTTTTTATGAAGAAAGTAAAAGAAGGTTACAGCAGGATCGCCACTGGCTTCTATTCTGAGCCATATCTGATAACGTCTCTAGCCACTGTGTAGCACCATCTCTCAGACCCCAACCAGGGAGTCGTGAAGAACCGACAGAAGCCAGTCCTTTGCAACTTTCTTTCATACCACGACACCATGTCATGCACTGACCACCTCTCCGCTTTTTCCAACCAGTCCCAGAGTCGGCAAACAATGCACGACGTGGAATTCTCTGGGACGACATTCGTAGAACATGTCCAAGCCACCGAAGTCGGTGTTTCAAGATGGTGACACCAATTGAATTATCATCTCTGTGCCCAAACACACGATGCCGAACCTCTGCATTACTAACATGGTGTTGCCACTGAATGTCAGCAATCCTTCGGAGACAGCGATGATCGAACACAGAGAGTCGTCTAACGTCCTCAACTCGGAGAGGCCAGGTTTCACAAGCATAGAGCAAAACTGCTCTCACCGACGCGTTGTAGATCCGACCTTTTACAGCCAGACTAACATCACGAAGGCGCCAAAGGTGGCCCAGATTGGCATAAGCCGCTCTGGCTCTCACTATACGTGCATTGATCTCATCACTCACACCCCCACCAGCACTTATGCAGCTACCCAGATACACGAACTTCTCGACTACTTCTATCTGCTCACCATCCAGGGTGAGTACAGGATTGGAATCCTGCCAGTCTTGTAGAAGTACTTTGCACTTCGAAGGTGCAAAACACATACCATACCTACGGACACTGATTGCCAACTGATTAAGTGCGGATTGCATGCCTTGGGCATTATCGCACAGTAAGACAATATCGTCCGCATACTCAAGGTCGAGAAGTCTTTCTCCAGGCAACAGATCCACACCACCATTACTTACATTCATCAGAGCTGTTTCCAGAATGTCATCGATGGCAAAGTTGAAGAGGAATGGTGAGATTGGGCAACCCTGCCTAACCCCACTACTCGTATAGAACAATGGAGAGAGGTGGTTGTATGCCCTCACTCTGCCTGAGGTGTTTTTATATAGGGCTTTTAGGATGTTAATAAACTTCTCAGGCACACCCTTCTTCAATAGACAATCCCAGAGAACAGTCCTGTCCAACGAATCGAAGGCAGCCCTGATGTCAAGAAACACTACGATTGTTGGCCTTTGATAAGTATGGCGATGTTCTAACATTTGGCGGAGGGTGAAGATATGATCAATACAACCTCGACCAGAACGAAACCCAGCCTGCTCCTCGCGAGTCAATCTTTCTCGGGTTTTGAACAACCTACGAAGTATGACGGAAGCCAATAGCTTGGACGCGATCGGAAGTAGACTTATCCCCCGATAGTTGTTGCAGGAACGACGTGAACCCTTTTTAAAGATAGGGACAACTATCGACTCATTCCATGACGTTGGTACACTCTCTAATTCCCAAACCTTTGTAAACAACGTCGTCAATTCCTTAGTCAAAAAGTCACCACCATCTTTAAAAAGAGCCGGAGGTAAGTCATCTGGGCCAGGTGATTTGTAACGCTTCAAGAGTTGGAGTTCCTTGCGGACTTCCTCCTCGTTCGGTGGATCAGTCGTCACCGGCCATGGAGGGCAGGACAGTCTGACCGATGTTGCCGGAGCAGCAGGCCAGTTGAACTGCCCTTCGAAAAATTCTGCCCATCGTCCAAGACGTCGATGGATGTTAGTGATTGGCATCCCATCATCCTCGCAGATTGTTTCACTCACACCAGACTTCTTGCTGCCAGTGGCTCGGATGAGCTGGAAGAGCTTCCGGTAGTTACCAGATGCAGCTGCTGCTTCCATCTCATTAGCACGCTCCGACCACCAGGCTTCTCGGTCCTTACGCAAGCTTTGCCCAATTTCCCTACGTAACATCCTTCGTTTATGGTCAAACTCACGGTCACCCGGAGTCGACCGACGGGCTTCAATAAGTTGTAAGGAACCAGAAGAAACCCAGTGCTTATAAGCGGGACGTTTCGCAAACCCACAACTGACTGTTCCCGCCATTTTCATGGCGTCATGCAATTGCAACCAATGCTCATCTATACTTTTCGGTGGAGTGGTAGCTAGCCTAGAAGCTAGCTCGGTTCGATACTTATTTGCAACAGAGGTTGCAACCAGCTTGCTAATATCAATCCTTTGGTGGTGGTCACTTCGTTGTCCACTGAAAAGTAAGGCAAGATTGGCGCAGACCAAGGCATGGTCAGAGTCCAGATAGGTACTCCAAAAGGAGCGGCAGTCTTTTACACAACCACGCCAGCGGAAGCTGATCGCGATGTGATCAATCTGAGTCCAGGCTTGGGATGCAGAGGGAGGACGCCAGGTGGCACATCGGCGATGACTGTGCCGAAAGTTAGTGCTAGCCAGAAACAGGTTGTGGTCTGTGCAAAGTTGCAGTAGACGGTCCCCGTTATCTGACCTGCGACCAACGAGTCCCCATCGGCCACCTAAACGACTCTCTTCTGTGCCTAGACGCCCGACCTGCGCATTCAAGTCTCCGGCTAGTACTACAATATCTGTCGAACGCACTTTCTGGAGAAGAACAGATAACTGGTGGTAAAACTCATCCTTGATTGCATCCGGGCTGCAATCTGTCGGGGCATAGGCGGAGATGACGAAAAGACATCGTTTCTCACGCCGATTTCTTCTCACTTTGATGGAACTTTCTAATCTAACAGCACATAACCGACTGTTAATAGGGATCCAATCGACTAGTGCTGCCTCAGCTCTAGCGCTTAGTGCGACACCAACGCCAGCAAGACCAGACGAAGATGCCACAGGGTCCCCGGATAAGCGCACGTGAAACAAGCTTTTCGAAGCGACAGATGGAGATCGAATTTGTAGTACTTCGCCAGAGTCTTGAATACGGGTCTCGGATAGACAACAAACATCAATATTGAGACTTTCCAAAGACATAGCCAGCCCTATCTGTTGTCCGACCTGCATTAGTGTGCGAACGTTGAAGGCAGCCAGTTTGAATGGTGCACGTGGTTTCAGAAAAACTGCTTCAGTTCTCGTATTCGGTGGTAACATACAATTTTCAACCGAACAGTGACTCGAGAACGTTTAGATACAGTCGAATTTCCACCAAAGACGAGCCGCTGTATAAGTATAAAGGAGGGTGAATAATGTGGAAAATAATAATAATAATAATAATAATAATAATAATAATAATAATAACAATAATGACAATAATGGTAATAATAATAATGGTATTAATAGTGACAATAACAGTAACAATTATTTGAATCAATTGAATGTTGATCGGAGAGAGGAAATTAGTTGCCGTAGTCATAGAGTTCATTGTTTGTGTGTGGGCTGTGATGATCGTGAGCAATAGTGGATAGCGAAAGCAGAAGAGACGGAAAAGGCCACAAAAATGGGTAACGGCAGACAACTGTTCAAACTGATCAGGGAAACGGGTATTAAAGATCCGACCATTAGTGGAAATATCTCGGAAAAAGACTGGAGTATTATTCACTTTCAGTGCAGGAGATTAAAATGACACATAGACTTTAGGGAGCAGTTCACCTGGCCTTCAGCCACACTTCAGTTAGCCACTGTCTTCAAGCAACCTAAATGACAGATTAGTGTAAGTCCGCCAACTCTTAATAAGACTGAAAAGTAATAAGTAATCTAAAGCCAATGGGGCCTGATGGGCTAACTCCTGAAATTTTTAAGGATGGTGGTCTGGTTTTAGCGGTTAGATATACTGAAATCTGAAAACTAGATGTAGTCTCACCTGACTGGTCTTGATCGCTGATCGTCCTAGTCTATAAGAAAGAATAGAAATCACAGGAACCAGTCTCACTAAACTAGTGTCTAAAACATGTGCATCAATAATACTTTGACGTCTAACTAGAGCTCGTAAAGAGCAAACTTGAGAAAATCATGCTGGTTTCAGACCTGGATGTGGGTGTATAAGCCAAACATTCACAATACGGCGGGTTCTGGAATAGACATAATTTTCGACGTACGACTACAGTTATATTCCTTAACCTTAAGGTGTTGCCCAACTCAGTTGATCGTGAGGTTTTCTGACAGTGTATCATTGAAAAGCCTACCAAATAAATAAATTAGTCAGTCAGTCAGCTACAACGTAGCACCAGGCACATATGTGCATCGGTCCAAGTTGCCATACCTCATTAGCACAACAAGATGAACACCGGATTCATAGTTAATTTAGTGGTGGTAATATATATATATATATATATATATATATATATATATATATATATATATATATATATATATATATATAAGTACTTTAACCTTGTATAAACTCTCTACGCGAACACTACTTGTCGAATCAGAGCTTACGCTCAACTGCCATCAAAGTTGATTACTTTAATTGATGTTCGTCAGGGTTGTTCAGTCTCATTTTCATTCATATTTGTCCTAGACATGGTTTTAGAGATAGAATTTTCATCGTCTGACTTCCAGGGGTTGGTCTACCAAATGATTCGCTTGTTAACTTAGAATACACAGATGACATAGTTTCGTTTGGTGAAGACTGACAAAACGCAGTCTTTTGACCACCTTAAGCAACAATCCAAAAAATTTCGCGATCGTGCTCTCTTCGTCCAAATGCAAAGGGCTGCTTCAGGATTGACTTACATCAGCGCATTAATTAATGATAGGGGGTGAAATAGTTGAACTCATCAACCGCTTCACTTAGGAGTCTAATCAGTTCTGATACTCTTTTGTCCGACGAAATCTCGGTACGGACTCAGAAGGCTCGATTGACTTTTGCCAACTTGCGTCACTTGTGGCGTAGATGAAATATCCTTCTATCAACCAAAGGACGAGTTTACTGCTCAGCAGTTTGCTCTGTTCTACTTTATGGATGTGAAAAATGACCATTAAGGGTAGAGGATATTCTTAAGTCTTGGAAGCATCGCTCGTGTATTTTGGGGTCACGAAGTAAGCGATGCTTGGGTTATGAGTAGAGTACTAGGTAAGGATGGGAAACCCGTTGCCGAGGTAGTAAGTCTTCATCAACTAAGGTAAGGTGGTTGAGATATGCGTTACATTCATCCAACCACTACCTACTTCGATGAGTGGTGTTTTCTGGTATTGAAGTAGCCTGGACGAAAGCTAGGAGTGACCAAACTAACATATGGCATCAACCCATTAAGTCGCTGATAGTTGGACTTGGCCATAACTTATTTGCTTGTCTTCTCGAATGTTATCTTCAATACCTGATCTTTCTTACCATAACTAAATGTTACTAACTTTACTATTCTGGGATTTAACTTGACGATTTTATCTCTGTGCTAATGGGGAACGGCAACTTGAACCGTATCAGGTTCTGTGTTGTGACTGAGGTTCTGCAAAGCTGTTTGAATTTCGTAATCTATTATTATCAGCAAAATTAAATGGTGTTAGCTAACATTTGAGAGCTAGATGTAAGTATAACTGTTGTGTATCGATAGATGAGGACCTTATTTCAAAGCCATGAGAAATAATAGGGCTGCTGCTCAATACCTCATCCTTCAATCAAACAATGAACGTCTCACTTACGCCTCATGTGACAAAGTTGCCGGAACCAAAACGAACTTCCTAAATCTGTGCCAAGATTTTGTGAAACACCTACCTACTGGGTCTAGTAAAACTTCTAAGATTAGCGAAGTGGTTAACGCACTCAACCATTTCAGTATAATTTATCTAGGCGTCGAACCAGACCAATCCCGTTTATCGTTCTCAATCAGCTTTGACTCAACTAACAATGATCAAGCAATAAGTCATCACGACTCACATACTTCTATACATCTATCAATGGTACCCACAAGGCTTCCTTATTTTTATAGTCAAGTGGTCTCTAGAGTCAAGAAATACAGTTATAGTTAAGTGTTGGTAAGCATGTATGCTGCAGAACCTGATGAATAGTGGATATTTACTTTATACACTACGTTTAGGTTTATAAACCGACTTGGTCTTTTTCTTCTTAGGGCCCTAGTCAAGTGTTGGATGACCATGGAGTTTAGTATTTTCAGACTAGTCACAAGAGGTTTTCTATATTTTTTTTATAAATTAAAGTGGTCAGGACCAGTGTTGTAAGACTACTACGTCCGGCCCTCAGATTTCAGTTGATTAATCAGTTAAGCTAACTGTTAAAACTTGACCACCATCCCTAAAGATTTCTGGAGTATAGCCGTCTTGTCTTGCTGCTGTTCATTGCCTCAGATTAGCTTTTGTCCCTTTACCGCTTGGTGAAGTCCACTCATAAATCGCACTGCTCTGTTCACGCTGTCTGAATATCATCCGAAGCAACATCAAGATGAGCATCACTTAATGATCGACAAAGGGCTTCTCTGATTGTTCTTGACATACTCGCCTAACTTTTTTCATTTTTAAGCCGAATTTTAGAATATCTTCCCGTTGTGACCTTCACGTTTCCAGTAAAGAATCAGGTAAACGCGTGCTCGCACTGGAGCATGATCAGTCAAAATATCAGCTCAGAAATGTGTAACTTTCTTTGAGCGCCCTCTACGATAGC